AGCGCCTCGCTCCGCACGGGCACCGTGAGCAGCACGTCACGGCTCCAGAAACGGTAGATCACGAGCTCGAACCCACGATCTAACGGGAAGTACCCCGAGTGGCCGGGCAGCAGCTTAAGCTCCACCGTCGGCTCTTCACCGCTTGCCTCCCGCACTAACTCCCCCGACCGGCGCAAGTCATTTGACGACTTCCGCGGAGGCAGACCGCCGCCCAACGGGACGGGCGCGCCCACAGGCGCCGGACTCCCACGCCGCTGCCCGGTCTCCCTGCGACCACCGACCGGAGAGCTGCGCCGGTCTGGTGTTGGGGCCAGGGACCCTGATCCAGACCACGACGTCTGACCTGGTAGGGAACCATGACCTGGTGGGGAACCATGACCTGGTAGGGAAACCTGACCCGGTAGGGAACCATGATTAAGGGGGGACCGCTGACCCGGTAGGGCACCGTGACTGGGAACAGTCCCCTGGGCGCGAAGTGACCCTTGCGGGTAGGCGAGGCTAGGGGGGAAGTTGTAGCCGACGGGGCCTGGGCGCGTGGTATGTTTGGCAAGAGATATGCGCAGCCCGAGTTTGACCCCGCCTCCATTCGTGAGTTTGAAGTAGGTCGTCTCATGCGGCTCAACGTTGGTCTGTGTGCGCGCGTTCTGGGTTACCCGGATGGGTTCGGTGGTGTGAACAAGTGCCGCATTTTTCTGTCGTGTGAGCGTCACGAGTTCCACGGCGGCCTTGTTCAGGTCGACGTAGCGGTGGTACATGGCGGCGAGTGTGACCAGGTTCATTTGCGCCTCCAGATCGGTCCGTGCGTGACAGTGGATCATGGGTCCCTTGGACTTGAGCAAGACGTACAACTCGTCGATCCGTAGAGTTGGTCGCAGTGTAGTTCGCACTCTAGGCACCGGTCCCCAAATGCGTCTTACTGCGTCCGCAGTAACATTCCCGGCAGAACCCTGACTCACACCCGAATCTTCCTGATTCGGACCCCCTTGATGCAGGATGGCGGCCTGACCCTTACCGAGGGTAATGAGAGCGTAAAATCGCGCCCGCAATTCCTGCGAGAAAACGTCGTTCTGCATCTGCTCGTCTGTATGGTAAAAGGCATTCAACCAAACCTCCTCCACCGTCCCGAACGTCACCGACAGGATCGCGTCCTTCGCGCACTGCTCCTCAGACCACGACCAGTCACCGCAGTCGCTACTCGGCGACTTCAGGTGGTACAAAGCCAACCCCGGCTTCTCCAACAACGCCATCTTCCGCGAAGGCGTCTCCGGCCACGGTCGTTCTCGCCGCGCGCCAGAAGACGCCTCGGGCGTCCGGAGCAACACACCAGCGTCCCCAGCAGGCGGCGAAGCCACTATTTCGCCGGCCCGGGGCGCTCTTGCGAGTTCCTCAGCCTTGCTCCCACTAAACAAAGTCGCTTTCGCGTCCGTCTCCAGCAAGTCCATCGGCAACCCACTCACCCGATCGAATTCCCGGCCGTCCTTCGTCACCAGCGACGGCCGCGCCGAAACCGGGCCGCTGTCGGCCAACGACACGCGCCGATCAAGCCCCAGATCGTCTTCGAACGCATCCGGAGGCGACTGGAATCCGTCGCTGTCCGCGCCCAGGGGAACGTCGGGATTGGGCACGGAGGTCGGCGAGATTCGAGAACCACTTACCGCCGGCTCCGGCACGCCCGGAGGGCCGTCTAGGAGCGCCCCCGATTTGCGTTTACCAGCGTGCTGCTCCGGAGTTTCCTGCGTCGGAGTTTTGTCTTCTGCGCGTCGAGCGGCTGGCGAAGTCCGACTGATGGAGCGACTGGTGCGACTCAGAAATCGGGCACTGCGAGGCGACGACACGTATTTGCTTCCGGAGTCGAGGAGGAGCAGACATATTCGGCCAATCTTGACGGACCCCACGTAGGCGGTGTCTCGTCTGAACTTAGCGAGCGAAGCGGAGAGGGTGGCGGCCGGCGAAAAGACGGGTTGGGCTGCGCTGGTCGCAGGCTGGTTGGAAGCAGGCGGAAGCAAGTACATGCCGACGGAGGAGTCGAGAGGTATAGCGGTGGTGGTCGCCCGGTTGAGCACGGCTTCTAGTTCTTCGTTTACGTCACGCGCTTGGTTGTCGGCCGCATTTTGGCCCCGGGCGAAGAAGGCGTTGACTTGGTGCACGATGGAGAGGAGGCTCTGGACGTCTCCGACCGAGGCATTGATGTTGATGGGGCTGACTTTGCCCTTTACATGTACGAGGGGAAGCCAGTAGGGGTAGTAGATTTGTTTGTCGGTGGCCATGAGTACGGGGACGTTAGCTTGTTTCCATTGCGCGAGTTCTGGCCCTTGTTGGCTGTCGAGAGGTCTGGGTGAGGAGGAGACGAGGCTGAGTCGGTGGAGGAGCACGCGGGATGCTAGTGGGTAGGCAACATGTGTGCGTAGCGAGAGGCAGATGTCTTGGTCGGAGATGGTGGGTATGCTTAGGTAGTCGACTTTCAGTGCGGCGCGCGTGGAAACGAGGAAGTCGGCGGAGGCATTGGTGAGCATGGAGGCCATTCGGAGGGCGAGCTTTTCAGCGGAGGCGGTGAGGCTGGTAACGATGTCGTATTGCTTGTTGGGCCAGATGACTTGGAAGGTGATGCCGGTGAGGTGTGCCTGAAATTTGGTGGTCGACGTAAAGACCTGGTAGGGGCCATTCCGGTGTGCCGCGCCCAGGACCAGTTCGGGTTCCCACTGGGCGATTTTACGAGCAAGTGCGAGTTCGTTCTCCCACGACGTCAGGTCCTCGCGCGCGTGCAGCGTCGGCGCCGGGTTCAGGAACGAGCGCACGAGAGCGGCGCCGCGTTTGACAACCGCCGATGACCGCTGCCGCCCCACCGCCGTCACCGGACGCGGCCAGAAGCTTTTCCAAAGCGTCTGCACCGACTCGTCCAGACTGCTGTAGGTCTGTACGAGTGTGCGCCCGTAGACTAGAATTTCGCGCACGAGTGCACGGTCCTCTGACAAACCCGTGGACGACCCGCGCTCCGTCAACCCCTCCGAAGTCACCTCCGAAGGCGCGTCGGTGCCCGCCGTCTCGCCAAAGGATGACGGCGCTTGCGAAGCCATGCTCGGCTCGCCACACAGCGGCCATTGGTGTGTGTTGACGAACACTCCTTGACCTCCGGACGTCACGGCCGAGGCAGCAGCGGCGGCGGAAGAAGCAGACGCACCCACGGTCGTGGACATGCCGATGTTCTCGGTGCCGTAGCGACTCGCCTCGACGAGCGTGGTCATGGCGTCGATGAAGCCCGGACGGAGCTGTACCAGCGGGCGCTTCAAATAAACGGCCGTTGTCGTGCTCGGTCGCAAAGGGTCGCTGTTGAGCAACGGCAGGATGTGCAGACACGGCAACACCTTCACTGTGGGCCCAATCGGCACGTAACTCTCCGACAGGTTTTCCGCCTTCGGGTTGTAACCCTGCGTCAATGTCTGAACCACACGGAGATCCGGTGCGGTGCGAGCACCTTCCTCTGCCAAGTCCTCCGAAGTGAAACGCAAAATCGACTGCAATTTCCCGCCGTTCGTCGAAATCCACTCGTTGATACTGATCGCTGACACCTGCAAACTCCAATAATGGTGCAATGACTGCATCTTGAACCGCGTCGAGTTACAGTTCACGTCTACCAACTTGCAGTTTTGCGCAGACTCCAGCACTAGAAAGCGTTAACACGTAACGTGAAAATAGATGTGACCAGACATAGAC